GGTGGATTTTTCCAGTCAGGATCTCAGTAAATTACTCTTGTTTTTGTCACAAAACCTTCCAAAGTGGTTGCCTCATACGAGAGCAAAAATTGGCTTGGACCTTTGGCTACTGGGGAGAAGAATGGAACCTGGAAAAAAAAAATCAGAAGACTTTTATGGGAACTTCATCTTCCACGTATTATTGTGGCCTTGAACTTTCCTCATTTGTAAACTAGAGAATCCTTACCTCAAGAGTTATGTCAGGAAATTTGCATAGCAGTATCCTTAATTTAGCATGTTGTGACTCTCTTGATTACTGAGTTGATATCTTTCTGAACAGCACTTCTGTCAAATGTCCAAGATGTGTCCATGTGAAGACACTCAAAAATAAAATTGTATATTCCTGGTCATGTAATTTTGGAAATAAGTACACGTTCAACATCACTGTTCGATCTTACCAAAAGCATACTGGGAAATATGTGCATATTTGTGTTTGAAGGAAGTCCTAAATTGTTACAAAAAATAACCTGTCATGTTGTAAAGTCTATGCAATCAACTGTAAGAGTATCCAAAGGGAAAAGACTACAGCTTTCTGATAAGTCATAAAATTATAAAAAATGATTGTCAATAAAACCCATTAGTTTGCATACTAACCTAAAAATAAAGAAAATAAAAACTTTTATTTTCATCCAGTGACGAATAATCACAGTGCAGCATAGTAACCTATCAAGAGAGAAAATCCCCCTTCAGTCTTCAGAGACTGAATTGATTTTATGATAAATTAGTATAAGCTCTGCCTGCAACTACTGTGGGTATGTATTTTTATGACTTTCCCTCAGATATGGCACCTTTCAGAACCTGCTCTTTAACAAGACAACAGCTCAAAACATTTAGAATAGTCTTTGCCTTGGCTTTGTCACTTTTCTCTCACTCCAAACCAAAATTTGAAGTTTGCAAACACACACACACACACACACACACACACACACACACACACACCACACATACACAAACACACACAGCCCCAACACACGTACACATGCAACACACACACACACACACACACACACACACACACACACACACACACCCTAAAAACACAAACCCTAGGTTAAAACACTCTTTTCAGTGACCACTTTTGTGTGCCATGTTTGCAGAAGTGGTTGTTTCTACCATACATATATGGAAATGTTACAGTAAAGCTCATTTGTATACTCTAAGGAAAAAGAAAATTAAAAAGCCATGTTTCAAAAAAGGTGCAAGTGAATGAAACACCTTTTTGAATAAAAGCAAATATTGATTCAGGAAGAGTGAGAGTGGGTAAGGCTGAGGGAAAAGAGGAGAATGCAAAATTTCATGTGCTCATGCTTTGGGTCAAAAATCATTAGAAAATCTAAAATTCATAAAAATAAAACATTTCATAAGAAACAGGTTCTATCAATTATTAAGGTCTAAACAACTTAAAACATTTCAAAGTAAAAATAAAGCAACATTGAATAGTTAGACAAGAGCTTAATCCAACAATTTTCTGTAACACCTAACAAAGGAGGTAGAGAAAATTCAGCCTCTTTGGGCCATTGACAGGGATAAGGAAATGGCAGTTTACTTCCTGCAATGGATGTCCAGTGCTCACTTTAAAGCTAACTGTCCAACTGACATGCACCGTTGACACCCAAATCCAGCTACTGGCACGGTATGTTATGTGGGCTTTTGTTTACTAATTATGGCAGGACACAACCAAAGACGAAGGTAATGAGACTGGAGGCAACAAGAGGAACAAGCTGAAAAGGACAAGAAAAAAAGTCAACAAACCACATCTTTGCTCAATGGATGGGGAAAAAAGCACCATGGCCAACTCCAGCGGTAGGTGGCTACTGTGGCTTCATGATTGGTGTGGAGAGCGGCAGTTTCTATTTCATGTTCCTTTCCATAAAACATTTCTCTTCTTCTGGAGAAGCAGAAGGACAATAAGACGCTAAGTATTGCTCCATGAAAGATGGGGCAAATGTAAGCTTAGATTAATCATATAGAAATAGCCAGTCAAAATATTTAGAATTCAAGGAAAGGGAAACAGGATGCTGGTGTGGCGTGGGGGAGAGGGGCACAAAGCCAAGTCAGAGAGAAGCATCCTTCTGCACCGAGAATGATTGTGAAGATTAAGGATAAGGACCTGGGAGGCCACAGGAAAGGGCTGGAGAGAATTTTCATCCACATGCTAAAACTGTAACAGATCTGAAATAGTGCTGAATAGGGGTACGTTCAGGCAACTCTCCAAAGAAGAGGCAGAAAGGATTATTAGCCCATGGTAACAACAAAACAAGACAAGACAAGACAAGACAAGACAAGACAAGACAAGACAAGAAAAACAAAACAAAACAGACTCTAACAGGTTTTCTTACTGTTTTAATTTTCTATTATAGACAATATACTTTCTTACAGCCTGCGGCTAGGACAGGCCACACCCACTGTCCCTGTTTTGTGTGTCACTGTCTAGGAGAGAAGTTCTTTCAAGCATTCTTCTCCAAGCTGTGTTAAAGATGGTTGAAAACAATTTTAACATTTCTGTTATTACCACAGAGAGGTCCAGAAACCAACCAGCAGATCTGAGTAAACCTGGCTCTGCTGAGTCTTGTCCCTCCCACAATGACAAAGATGCCCAGGACCAGATGTCAGTGAGAAAATCCTCACTTCCCAGTGCCTCAGCCAGTGTTCCTGATGCCGAATTCAACCCGAATGCTGGTAAGCAATTACCTGGAAAGATTCTGGGAGAAACAGGAAAGAGTTTCTAGCTGCTGTTTCCAAGTCTACCCTTGAGTTAGAGATGGTGTGGTGATGGTGAAGATCCCAGACCAAGAGTCAGGATGGAAGAGGATTTCCTCTTCTGTGTTTATAAAGCTCTTTGCAGCTTCATTACCCTTTAGGATACTGGTTTAGAAAATTGAGGGATTGCCCTGGGAGAGCACACAAGTCTTCTCTAAAAATGATATTCAGTCATTCAAAGTTTCCAGGTTGCTGAGTTTAGTTATTCTGATGTAACACCAAGAATAAGTGTGTTGGTTAACAGCCCCTTGGATACAAGTGATAGAAACTTGTTTAAAATGCGGTACTTATTGTGTTAGGAAGCTTATAAACAGAAGGTTAAATAGGGTTTGGAAAAGTGGAAACATAGTGGGCTATTCCATCTCTGTAAGCAACAGTAGCTTTCTTGGGAACTGAATATGTTCTCATTGTCTTGAAATGCAGAGGACATTTCTCTAAGGCCTTCTAGATGCTCATGAGCTTTGAAGTTTCCTTTCTTTAATATTTTCTTATTTTTTTCTCCCTGAACAGAGCAGTAAAACTTCCTCTATAAAAGCATATTGATTTAATTTATTAGTCCTCTGAGGGGACAGGATAGGAGAGCACCTCCCAGGAATCACACTGGAAGAAAAACAAATGAGCCCCTGAACTGATAATTATCTGCCTGCTATTCATCATGTACAGCTGGAAAAGACTGACCGAAAGGTTTAATTGGAAATAACAAATATGATTTATTTGAAGGGGAGGAATTTAGACTATGATGCAGCAAGATGAATTGATGCTTTGAAAATGAATTTAGGTTAGGTAGGGTTGTCCTATTTGGTAAAAGAACTAAACTTTTAAATGAAAGCTTTGATGCTTAAGGATGCATATGCTAAAATGTATGATGCAGATTTTTACTTAACAATTAGACAAGGTCAGAACATATCAGATATATTAATTTATTCATTCACAGATATACTTACCCACTAACATATTTGTTGAATGCCTGTTACGGACAACATCTCTATAGCTATTGAAGCTATGACAGCAGGCAGACCTAAGTCCCACTCTCATGGGCTGACATGCAAAAGAATGGCAAGTAGATAGCATACCGGTGACCCTGAAACATGGCCAGCACATGGCAATCAGGGCACTGAAGAATATGGAAAGAGGATAATACAGTTAGCTGAACTATACCATTCCAAAATTCTTATTGTTCTAACCCTCAGCGTCTCAGACTTCGTTTGGAGTCAGTATCTGTAAGAGGGTTGAGGTTAAAGGTAGCCAGGGCCTTAATACAATGTAATTGATATACTCATAAGGGGACAATAACACATAAATACTTGAACCAGAAAGAATACTACTAGGAGATATTAGAAAAAGGTCATCGACTATAACTCCCAGACAGAAACCTCAGAAGAAACATCACTGCTGTTGCCTTTAATCTTGAACATGTGGTTTTCAGCTGAAAGAATACAAATTTCCATTCATCTTCAGTACCAGTTGTGGTAGCCTTAGAGAATGCATGCATGTGCTCACCGCTCAGCTTCAGCTCAACATGGATGGGCTCCCATGAATCAGGAGTTGGCCTGCTTACCATGTAACCATGTTTCATGGATGTTCCAGATGACTGTGCTTTATTTACACAGTGCCTCACCTTACCAAGTTATCTCCCCTTTTCATTTGATGCCATGTTTAATGCCTATGGTTTCCCCATGTGGTAATTGGAGATATTTTTGAGGGCAGAGTATTTTATGACTACTTCTTAGGTATATAACCAGATTGAAAAGTAGGTGATGAAAATACGTACGTTGAGTGATTGACTGTAAGTGGTTGGAGATTTCTTCGATGTAAAATAAAACAAAGGGAACTTCTGGAGGGAGGAAAGAGGACTGGACAGACAGCGGAAGAAGTCAGTGAATTGAGCAAATGACAATGACACATATGAGTAAAGACGTCATAATGAAACTTGTTAATTTGTATGCTTAGAAATTAAAAAAGAAAGACAAGAAAAAAACACATAAAACAATACATATTTACTATAGAAATTTTAGAAGATACAGATGTGGCAAAGGGCTAGTAAGATTACCTGCCATCTTCTCTTGTAAGAGAAAAGAGTCCACTTGGTAGTGTATACAGAATTGTTTAGGATACCTGCCATACTAGTTATATCTTTTAAATTGCTTAGGAGTCTTATTTTATATAAGCAGCTTTATTCGACTTGGGCTGAACATCCAGTGTTTCAGAGTAAGGTGGGAACACAGCAACTGTTAATTTAGCATGTAGCATTCCAATTGTCATGGCTTAATTGTTTGTGTGAAATGGAAGGTTATATCGTGGTTAGAAAGCCTCAGGGCTCCTGGAGCAGCCAGACATGTCAGTGACAGGACGTTATCTCCAAAATATGTGCATAGGTAGAGCCAGTAATTTGTTTCCCTCATGCTTCTCGTATTTAAAATCTGCTCAGTCTGTGTTTTTATACTGCCAATCTTTATGCTTACTTTAAAGCCTAATAACACCTTGAAAACCGATACCAGTTATCACTTAAAAATTATAGCTGTTTGATGTCTGTGGTGTGTCAGATGGATGGGTGTTCATGATCACGGTACCATTTACTAGAGTTGGAGTAGCTGGGCTCACTTTTCGCTTTTAAGTAGCACTTACGTGGTGGTCATGGACCCACAGCACTGTTAAATACCTTGTTTAATCCTCATAACAGTTGGGTAATAGTTTAACAATGAAGAAGGAGAGACGCGGAGAGAGTGGGAAGATTGCCAGGCATGAAGAAAAGGATATATGTGTCTTGGTTTGTGCTGAGACTGAGTTCTGTAAGTTCTGATGGTGGCCATTATAATGTATACCTTGGGCTGGATCATTTTATCTGTGGGCTCCATTCATACCCTGGTAACAAGACTGCAAAGTGTAATCCAGAACGCTAGATTCTAGTTTCTGTATTGACAGTGCTGTGTGTGTGTGTGTGTGTGTGTGTGTGTGTGTGTGTGTGTGTGTGTGTGTGTGTGAGAGAGAGAGAGAGAGAGAGAAAGAGACTTGGGCTCCTGCTCTGTGTGTGTCTCTCTCAGGCTAGTGAACTGGCTAGATTAACTTTGGACACAAAATATTTCCTCACTCTAAAGTTTTAGAATTCTCAAATTATCTTAAAATTCTGGAAATGAACATTTTATTATATTTCTGACCTTAAAAAAAATTGGCCACGTAGTCCTGAGTTTTCATCTCCACTGGCATTATTGATTTCTTTCTTTGTTTAAATTTTTTTTGTTAAATATTTGAAACTTCATTTTATTTCACTTTCTTGTTTTTGTTTTTCAATTATTTTTATTTTTATTAATTAGAGTTTATTCACTTTGTATCCTCCCTGTACCTCCCTCTCTCCTCCCCTTCCAATCTCACCCTCTCTCTTCCCCATACCTGTACCTCTCCCAGTCCACTGATAAGGGAGGTTCTCCTCCCCTTCCCTCTGATCCTCGTCTATCAGGTCTCATCAGGAGTACCTGCATTGTCTTCTTCTGTGGCCTGGTAAGGCTGCTCCCCCCTTAGGGGGAAGTGATCAAAGAGCAGGCCAATCAGTTCATGTCAGAGACAGTCCTTGTCTCCATTACTATGGAGGCCACTTGAACACTGAACTGTCATGGGCTATCTCCATGCAGGGGTTCCAGGGCATCTCCATGAGTGGTCCTTGGCTGGAGTATCAGTTTCAGAAAAGACTCCTGTGCCCAGACTTTTGAATCTGTTGCTGTCCTTGTGGAGCTCCTGTCCTCTCCAGGTCTTACTATCTCCCACTTCTTTCATAAGATTCCCTGCACTCTGCTTAAAGTTTACAGATTGGGAAAGGATCTTCACTAGCCTTATATCTGACAGAGGGCTAATATCCAGTATATATAAAGAAGTGAAGAAGTTAAACAGTAGCAAATCAAGTAATCAAATTAAAAAATGGGGTACAGAGCTAAACAGAGAATTCTCAATAGAGGAATATCGAATGGCAGAGAAACATTTAAAGAAATGTTCAATGTCCTTAGTCATCAGGGAAATACAAATCAAAACTATCCTGAGATTTCACCTTACACCCATCAGAATTTCTAAGATGAATAATTCAAGTGACAAACACATGCTGGAGAAGATGTGGAGAAAGGGGAACCCTCCTCCACTGCTGGTGGGAATGTAAACTTATACAACCACTTTGTAAATCAGTCTGGTACTATCTTAGACAATTAGGAATAGTACTTCCTCAAGATCCAGTTATACCACTTCTAGTCATATATTTAAAAGACGCTCAAGTATACAACAATGTTTGTAGCAGTGTTATTTGTAATAGCCAGAAACTGGAAACAGCCCAGATATCCCTCAACAGAGGAATGGATACAGAAATTGTGGTACATCTACACAATGGACTATTACTCAGCGATAAAAAACAAGGAAATCATGAAATTTGCAGGTAAATGGTGGGAACTGGAAAAGATCATCCTGAGTGAGGTATTGCAAAAGCACAAATACACACAGGGTATATACTCACTCATAAGTGGATATTAGACATATAATATAGGATAAACATACTAAAATCTGTACACCTAAAGAAGCTAATCAGGAAGGAGGACTCTGGCTAAGATGCTCAATCCCCATTCAGAAAGGTAAAGAGGATGGACATCGGAGGAGGGAGAAAACAGGGAACAGGACAGGAGCCTACCACAGAGGGCCTTTGAAAGGCTTTACCCTGCAGGGTATGGAGGCAGATGCTGAGACTCTTTGTTTAAATTAATTGTGAAATTTGACATAGAGGTTCACTTCTAAGACTCCAATGCTACTGCAAAGATGGAAGGTAATTTTAGGGAAAGAAAAGGAAACAGAAAAGGAGCCAACAGAACAGAAAAGAAATACAATTTTGTCTCCAAGTATTTAGGAATGTTCGGTTTGGAAATCACAGGTCAGTCTGAGAAAGCCACAAAGCTTTAATGGTAGACATTTACAGGTGACGTGTGTGTTTCCAAATATTAGGTTGTCCATTGTCTTTCAGGAGCAAAGGTTTTCTTTTCCTCTTTCTTTCTTTCTTTCTTTCTTTCTTTCTTTCTTTCTTTCTTTCTTTCTTTCTTTCTT